CAGGCCCTGCAGAATGAAATGAGGAACTGGAGCTCAGGGGCAGGGACTCTCCATCTGGCAGGCTCAGCAGATCAGCAGCTCAGGAAGCCCACAGCCCCAGGGCCAGCCCTGCTGCCTCCCTCCAATCTCCCATCTCTCTCATCCAGGCTCCTCCTGGGCTGCCCAGAGCTCAGAGTGAGTCCAGAGGAGGCCACAGAGATGATCCGAAGGCTGGAGCAGCTCTGCTCTGGAGACAGTCTGAGAGAGCTGAGGGTGATCAGCCTGGAGAAGAGAAGGCTCCAGGGAGACCTTAGAGCACCTTCCAGGGGGTACAGGAAGGCTGGAGAGGGACCTTTTTTTCCTTTTTTGTCATGGAGTAACAGGATGAGAAAGGAACAGTTTTAAAATGAAAAAAAAAAGGGTATAATGATTAGACATTAGGAAGAGATTCTTTCATGTGAGGATGGTTAGACACTGTTCCAGGTTGCCCAGTGAAGCTGTTGCTGCCCCAGCTCTGGAAGTGTTCCAGGGCAAGTTGGATGGACCTTGGAGAAACCTGATCTAAGTGCGAGGTGTCCCTGCCCATGCAGGAGAATAGAACTAGATGATCTTCAAGTCCCTTCCACCCCAACCCATTCCATGACTCTGTGCAATGAGGTCAGGGGCAGTGTCTCTCTGGCTGGCATGCTCAGGAGATCCTGGTGCCCGGCAGCCTGCAACCCCTGGCAAAGTGGGAAGGGAACAGCTTGGATATGAGCAAGTGCTGGTGCTCCCTGGCAGTGCTGTTGTGCAGCCCTTTCCCCTGCCCCTCTGCACAGAGGCTCTGAGAAGGTCTCCAAGGAAGGATCTCTGAGTGGCTGGAAGGTCTGGATTCTGTTGAAATACACAGAGAGCAGGGCTCCTAATTTACACAGTCTCTGGTTCAGACACAAGCTGGACAGACACACAATTAGAAAGGGCACAAATACTGACATTCCTTTATGGACAACAGTAGAAAATTAAATCAGAGCAAAAAAATCCTATGTAGTCAAAAGCCCTATCAGAGCAAATAAAACCTATCAAAGATGGGCAGGACATATAATGAGATACATCAGCAGTGATTTACACAAGAAGACAACCAGTTGGGTACTTCTGAAAATGTTCCAGTCATAAGTTTCTGCACAGCATCCTGGAGCTCCTGGTTCCTCATGCTGTAGATGAGGGGGTTCACTGCTGGAGGCACCACTGAGTAAAGAAATGACACCACCAGGTCCAGGGATGGGGAGGAGATGAAGGGGGGCTTCAGGTAGGCAAATGCACAAGTGCTGATGAACAGGGAAACCACAGCCAGGTGAGGGAGGCAGGTGGAAAAGGCTTTGTGCCTTCCCT